GAACCGAATACCCCCTCTTGAGTTCCAGAAACCTTCTTCATACATTTTCCTTCACTTTCCCGGGAAATTAGTCGAGAAAACAAGAAAATCAGTGAGTTAAGATAATGTACACGGCGATTCGGTCGCTTCCGGTGGATGGAAGTATGGGAGAGTACTCTGACGGAACTAATCTTCCCATCGACGCCTGTTTGGTTCTAACCACTGACCCTAAGCCCCGTCTTCGTTGGACCACCGAACTCCATGATAGATTCATTGACGCCGTCACTCAGCTCGGCGGTCCCGACAGTAAGTATAATCATACACACATGGGTTTGTCTTCTTGTGTTGAAATTTCTGGATCTTGAGATGAAATGTTGATTTGAGTGTTTGCTTGGTTTAGGGTTTTGTAGAATATGACAAGGAATCTTGGTCGGTTTAGGTGTTTGGGTTTATGTAACTTTGAACAAGAATTAGCTGAAGAATTATAGGAATTAGTGGATCATTGTGCTGCAATATCACTTAATTTCGGTTCTTGTTCTTGGCTTTAAAAGGTTTGATTGCAAAGATGAATTGGGATTTGATTCATTTTGTCTGTTGTTGAGATTCTAGCTGGTTTGTCTTTTTGACCTTCTGTGTTTGTTTTGATTACAGAAGCGACGCCGAAAACTATAATGAGAACTATGGGAGTGAAGGGTCTCACTCTCTACCACTTGAAATCTCATCTTCAGGTTTGATGCTAGCCACAATATCTATTATGGTTCATTGGTTGTTTACTCGATCACTTTAAACGAACAAAGTTCAGTGCTTTGACCGTGTTGTTTTCCATGTTTTGTGGCTCGGTAGAAATTCCGCCTAGGGAGACAACCCTGCAAAGAATCAACTGACAACTCTAAAGATGGTATTGATTTGATCCTCCATATCTTTTGTTATGTACTCTATTCAGTTGGGCTTTTTGGATCATTGTTCGGTATATTCACCTCGAAGCTCATGGGAATATGTTGTTTTGCATCATCGGTATTATCTCAATAGAGCATAAGTGGCATCTGGTTCAAAATTTGGTTTTCATGGATTTGGTTTGTATTGATATCTCTATGAACTTATTATTTCTGTAGTTTCTTCTGTTGCGGAGAGTCAGGACACAGGTTCATCTTCAACATCATCATTGAGATTGGCTGCGCAGGAACAGAATGAGTACGGTTACAAGTGGTCTCTTCGTCCAAATTTTTTATGAACACTCATTGTTTTTTGTTTCCGTGAGCCAGGAGTTACCAGGTCACTGAAGCTTTGCGTGCCCAAATGGAAGTCCAAAGAAGACTACATGAGCAACTAGAGGTTAGTTTTCTTATTCCAATTCACCAAAAATCAGAGAAACCACCTTCCTAATGTTTTGGTTGATAGAAAATTCAACATTGAGTCATGGTTTCACATTTGATGGGGTGCATCAGTATACGCAGGTGCAACGGCGGCTCCAGCTAAGGATCGAGGCACAAGGAAAGTACTTACAATCTATCCTAGAGAAAGCTTGCAAGGCTATAGAGGAGCAAACTGCTGCATTTGCTGGGCTAGAGGCAGCTAGAGAAGAGCTTTCAGAGCTAGCCATAAAAGTCTCCAATGGTTGCCAAGGAACAACAAGCACATTTGACACAACCAAAATGACAATTCCGTCTTTATCCGAGCTTGCAGTAGCAATAGAGCACAAGAACAACTGTTCAGCAGAGAGCTCTCTGACTTCAAGCACAGTGGGAAGCCCGGTTTCAGCTGCGATGATGAAGAAGAGGCATCGAGGAGTATTTGGAAACGGGGATAGCGCGGTTGTGGGTCATGAAGCTGGGTGGGTGGGTTATGCCTAGCAGTAGCATTGGATTAAGGTAGAGGAGAGACCAGATTTTAACTTGTTTGCTTTGTTTTTGTATTTAAACTCAAAACTTTGTTATCAAACATCTCTGTCTTAGCTTCAATGTATATATTTGTGTCTCATTTAGATTTAGTCTTACTAAAACCTATCATAACTTCTCCCCATGCTACAGATTGGACCTTCTAATAAATCAAATGTTTCTACCAATCAATATAGTGTGAATAAAAAATCTTTAAAAATACCAAAAAAACGCAAATCTCAAGAGAGAGAGATAGAGAGGAAAGGTCGGCGAGGAAACGGCGGCGTATCGATTCACTCGTTTTGCAACTGAAATGTTTGAAATT